TTTTTTTTTTTTTTTTTTTTTTTTTTTTTTTTTTAACTTGTCATTTTTCTGTAGTACTAAAGATTTGAGTTTAATATATGTTTTGATTGAATGATGGTTTTGGTTGATTGCTTTGAGAAATTAGATGGATTAGCTAGAAAGTATAGTCATATTATATATACTAGTATTTCATATATATACGCGATGCGCAAAAATATATGCCCAATATTAATACTTAATATTAAAATCTTAGTTATATTAAAATATTTTTTTAAATAATTGTGTGTGTGTGTGTGTGTGTGTGTGTATATATATATATATATATATATATATATATATATATATATATATATATATATAAAATTGTAAAATTCATTTTAATATTAGTAAAGTAAGAATTACAGAAATGATATATTACTAAATATAACTATGGTAACATTTAATTAAAATATAAATAAAATCAAACTTAGTATTGCAGAATGTAGGAAAAAAAATATTGTGTATGCATGTGTATGGTAATAATAATGTGGAAAGATAACAGAAGTTATAACGACAGGGATATTTTTGTCCAAAAAATTATGTAGTACAACATTTATAGCATAAGGTACAAAAAAAATTAACAAAAAGAAATGGACATAAAACCAGGGACATAATCTAGATTGAAACTTATTATGTTTTTAGATTTTATATATATATATATATATATATATATATATATATATATATATATATATATATATATATATATATATATATATATATATATATATATATATGGTGCAGATCCCATGAGACCCCCATATTAAATAAGATCATGAGATCACATCCCATCCATTTATACATTTGTAATGGAAGGATGAGATTGAAAGAGAAATATAGTGTAAGTAAGGTCATATTTTAATTAGGAGGGTTAAAGAGTAATTCTATTAATGTGTTAATTTCAAATGAAAGACCACAAATATAATGGGAATAAGTAGTAATCCAATATGGTTAGTAGCTGTACCACTCAAACCGTGAGCAAAGGGTGTTGAGGCGCAAGAACATTGCAGAAGTTGAAGATGACGACTACTACCACAGGTATGAGCTGCTGCCTTGATTTATAAATTGTTTTTGGAAGTCGGTCTATGCACTGTTGACCGACGGCGTGTGCGTAATAAAACATAACGAATTTGTTTTTGTGTCGTGTTGATTTGTTTCTTTCAATTGATATGAAAGGGGAACACGGGCCATTTGGAGGTTTTTGTTGTTGTTGTTTTGTATTAAATGAAGAATGCACAAGCATTTGGGTAATTGGTAGAGTGTTGGTGTGTGCGTTTGTTTAAGTTGGCGTGTGCATGTTGTACATTACGGGGGTTTGGAATTGGTTTAACACTTATTTTGTATCCAAAATTATTACTATAAGGGGTGTGTGTGGAACATGCATATTTGAAGGTAATAGAGGTTTTCCGTTTATTTTTTCTTGCACATATTTGAATAGTTTGGGTGGTGTGTTCGTACATGTAGTTGAGCGTGTGCATGTTCCTTTGTGCATGTATGTGTGTGCATTGTCCTGTACAATGGTTGTGTGCGTGCAATCGTATTTTAGTTGTGTGTCATATATGATTTTTCTTATATCATGTGGTCTGTGCGTGATTTAAAAAAAAATGTACACTATTTTAAAATGATGTAACAGATTGTTTGCTATTATTTTATGGAATATATTATTCCTTAATTTCATAAAATAGTAATAACTACACTCTCATATGAATAATTATTTGCTTAATTATGGAAGCATGTGGGTAATAGTGCGTGCAATTAACTATGTATGTGCAATCTAAGTGCGTTAATATGGTATGTGCGTATGATTGGAATGACGTATGATTTTGCTGGTTTGTGGATGAAGATAGAATAGCGTAAGACATGGGAAATTGGAAAAAATTTAAACACGAGTGGAAAACCAGTAGTCTGCATTGTTCATTTAAAAAAAAAAAAAGACATTCAAAGAAACGGCAACACCGCATCAAGCCCATCACCCGAGCTATCCGAATCCGAGTCTGGTTGGACAACATGGGGTGCTTCAACATCATCGAACAGCAGCAATTGTACAGCATCTACCGCATCTACAGCATTGACACCTAGTCATACCAAAATTAATGCACAGTTACCAAAAAAAGTTATAACGACATAGTAAAAATAATTATCATACACCTGAGCACACACTTCACCCCGCCCCCCAGTGCACAGACCTAAATTTGGATCCTAACAGCCCAGTATTACGCACAAGCTTAATACCTAGAACGCACCCACTTCCCCTCTCCAGCGCACCCACCTAAATTTGGATCCTAAAAGCACAACATTACGCACAAGCTTAATACCTAGAACGCACCCACCAATTACTAGTCCCAGTATTACGCACAAACTTCACACCAAGAATGCACACACTAATTACTACTACCATATACTCTACAATATTTTAATAAATGTGAACAACAAAAGCCAATAACGATTAAAGCTACCTGTCAATATACAAAATATATATATATATATATATATATATATATATATATATATATATATATATATATATATATATATATATATATATATATATATATATATATATATATTCCGAATACTTAAAACAAGAATAAAATTATTGAACCCCAAGATTCAAATATGTTCAACAAGCGCACACACTTGCCCTCACCAATGCACACACCTACAAAAACCCAATAGTACGCACAAGCTTAATACCTAGAACGCACCCACCAATTACTACTTCTAGCATTACGCATAAACTTCACACAAGAATGCACACACTAATTACTACTTCCATATGCTCTACAATATTTGTAGAATAATTACTAGTAATTAGTATTTAGTAAACACTAGTTATTAGCAGAATAGCAGACGCAGATCAGAGTAGCAGTAGTTACAACTATATCTAACACTGTAATTATTACTAGTAATTAGTAAACACAAATTATTAGCAGAATAATACAAATCACCCAAAATGAAAAAAAAAAAAAAAAACTGTAATCAATCGATAGATAAAATTCCCCCCTTATGGTTTTCTACATCAATGAACCAATTTTGCGAAACAAGAATCGGAATTGAATCATACGCAACGCAAAAATAACAAAGAAATTGCACTCCTGGGAATAAGATTAGAAGTCTAGGAAGAGTAAGAACACCACAAACCTCGCCATCGGTCGCAGCTTCGCCGTCTCGCCGTGTCGCAGTCCTCACCACTCAGTCGCGTCGCAGCCCTCGCTCCTCCAGACTCCACCGCCCCCCACGCCACAAACGCAACCAAAAAACCAAGGGTTCGGCCGAAACCCTAGATAACTAAACGCCCACACCCGCCACAACCCCCCTCCACCACCATCGCCAACAACCCGTCGAAAACGCCATGCAAAAACCCCCCGCGAAGAACTGAAACAACGAGGTGTAAGGTGAAAGAGAACTGAAACGACGAGGTGGAAGGTGAGAGAGTAAATAATGAAGAAAATCTCAGCCCAAAAATTAATAACGCGATAGTTTAGGCAAAGAACGAAAATAATAAATGGAAGGAAATAAATACACAAACCAAAAGACGAAAACACCCCTCACACATATATTGAAATCAGTGATTAGGCTAAAAAAAATCAAATCTGAAACGTTGAAACCTACAAATAAACGGTCAAGATGTCGTCTTACCATCTCATCTTAATAGGGGTCTCATTGGATTCAATATATATATATATATATATATATATATATATATATATATATATATATATATATATATATATATATATATATATATATATATATATATATATATATATATATATATATATATATATAGAGAGAGAGAGAGAGAGAGAGAGAATTACATTCAGCCATTCAGGTAAAAACACATCTTAAAGTACAAACATGTGGACTAATCTGGGCCATTGGATTTTGCATTTGGATGGCTGTGATTTCAGCGTGTGGTGTAGTGTTATTTTAATGTGTTTTTATGTTAAGGGAGTTAGTTATGGTATTTTACTAGTGTTGAAACCTAGTCAGATTGATTTTCAATTTTCACGCGCACGGGTTTCTCTATTCTTTCGTTTGTTTTGTGTTCGTGCGTAGGAGGGTTTGGACATGCTCCGCGAATGGCATCGGCTCTGCGAGTTTGTTCCTTCGATCTTCAATTCCACGTAACCATGGTTGTTGGCGGACCGTGGCACACTGAAGAGGCGGGGACCACCGGGTGTTGACCGAGGTTAGTTCGCTTTGTTTAATCCGTATTTTTTTTGGGGGTGTTTTTGTTTTTTTCTGTCATATTTTCGTTCAACGGTGGGGGGTTTTTTTGTTTCTTGGTCGGTAGCTGTTGTTTTTGGGGTCGGGGGTGTGGGTATTGCCGTTTTTTGGACGAATTTGGTAGCTAGGATTTTTTTTGGGGTTTACTGGGACGTGGAGGGCTGGTCCGATGCGTTCTGGTGGTGGTTCGGTGGCCTCTTCGGCTGTGCACGATGGCGATTTGGTGCCGGGGGTGTTGGGGAGTGGTTTTTTTTTTTTTTTTGGATTACTAGGACAGGGAGTGTTGGTCCGTTGGGTTCTGGTGGTGGTTTGGTGTCGGGGGTGTTGGGAAGTGTTCTTCTCGGCGTTGCACGGCGGCGGGTTGGCTTTGGGTGTAATTGTCAACCATATGCATAGTCAACCTTCTGTGCAATTGTCCCACCATTAACCTGGATCTCCATCGAATGAGCCTTTTTCTGCTTCAGCCCCTTCATTTTCCTTATCTGCACAAGATAATATTAACAGAAATTAATTTATCATGAGAATGCTTATAAAGCTACGGGTGTATACTAAAAGCAAATGGCATAGTTAATATAACAATCTCACTATCACTCAGTGTTAAAAAAAAGTTGGATTGAGGTTGTTTGACAATATTGAGAATGAGTACTTGGGTGTGAGCCAACACACAAATGACACATACATATTTCTTCATCTTCTCAAGCTGTGCTTCAATATCCTTCTTCCCACTTTGACACTGGTTTTTGTAGGAAAAAATAATAGAAAAGGATACTACATTTATCAGAAGGGAACTAAACCAAAACCTGATCCTTCTGTGCTTCCAATCATAGAGAAGTCTAGAAGGCTGATAAATATTATGCCTGGTGGGAAGGTACAACTTCCAAGGAAATGCACTCTTTTCTTTTTTATTGCTCCAAAATAGATATTCAATGATTCATGCTCTATTTAGAAATTGTAGGAAATGCAGTCTTTTCTTTTTTATTCCTCCAAAATAGATATTCAATGATTCATGCTCTATTTAGAAATTGTATAGTTTTTATACGTGGTTCACATTTAGTCATTGACTAATGTCTTAAATTTATGTCCAGCCAATATCTGTGACTGACCAAGAAATTGTCGAGATGGTTCTCTTTCCAGTGGTGAATGAGGCTTGTCGTGTTCTTGATGAGGGATGGTCGTCCGAGCATCAGATCTTGATGTTGCATAAGTTTTTGGAATGAGCTTCCCCTCTTACAGGTTAGTCTTTGCATTGTTCTTTAAAATCTGCTTAAGTATGTTATCGTCCATTGTCAAATTCAAGCAGTCTTATTTGAAAGATTTATGATATTTACTAATAGAAGCAAAAACATTGAGAACACAACCGTGAAGTAGAAACATATAGTATATCACACTAATGCTATTTACTACAATAAACTAGACAAACAGACTTTTTTTGTATACTCTAGACAAACATTTTTTTTTTTTTTTTTTGTATCTTTGCAATACATTATCAGTATCTTGAGACTAGACTCTAGAGTCTAGAGTCTAGAGTCTAGTCTCAAGATACTGATAATGTATTGCAAAGATAGGCCATCATAGTGCGTGATAAAAAAAAGGGAGTTAAAAATATTAGAATTGAAATTGATGGATTCATGGCAGGTAATCAAAAATAAAACTGATTTCCATCTTGTTTGCACTAGGTACAATGCAATGCCATCAACAGTTTATCTTTCTGAATCTAAGTGTGTGCATGGGTTGGTCTGGGTGTGTGCTCATGTTTTATTGCATCCATTTATTGTTTTTTTTTTAAAGTCAGAAGTCTAAGGTGGCACGTTGTGCTACAAGTGGGTCACAGCCTTGTGTGAGCAATGACGACTTCATTTCGTCACCATTGACCTTCTTGGCGAAGTTGGAACAAGAACCACTGTGGAATGCACCTGATGATGATGTGGCATATGAGGAGGATTCTGGGGGTGAGTTGTCGTGTGAAGACCAATCAAAAATTACATTTCTTTAGATTTATCATACATGTTTTAATAGCACATCGTTTATTCGAAGGCATCGTAATAATAATTTTTTTTTATAGATGTATGTACACTGTTTTTTTAGATGTATGCACATATTATTTGATTACAGGTGCACAGTAGGTATGATCACCCATGCACACAGATTTGCTTGCGTGAACATACTGTGCATATGCGTGCATAGAAGTGGGTTGCTTGCACACGGGTTTCTATAACTATGCACACGGACTTTTATAACTATCCCCTTCTCACGGGCTTGGGAAGTATCGACAACAGTACTAAGCTAAATAAAACACCAAATAACGATAAAAAAAACTAATATAAACAACCACCAGAAAACATAAAAGAAATAAAATTATAAACGGATTTAGGAGAATACAGGTAATTCCATTAACGGTGCACACAAAAGGAAGCATATGCGCACAATCCTGTGCGGGGAGTAGGTACTCCGAATTTGTAAAAATCAAACGCACACATTAACAAACGCTTGTGCACACATGTCTAGAGTGAAAGTTAATACAAGTAATAGATAACTAAGATATAATAACCAAAACACGCACACTAAGCATTCATTCGACGAGCATAGCATCAAAACTAAGAAATAATAACAAAAGCAAGCACACCAAGCATTCAACTGACGAACATAGCATTGAAATTAATAAATACTACAGAAGTATCTGACTAAAAAATGATCAAATCTCAAAAATACTGTGAGCACACTATGAAGTACTTGTGTGCACATTACTGGGAACATCAAAAGAAAACCATAGGAGCTATTGAAAAAATCAAATGCAGACGCTAACAAATGCCTGTGCACACATGGATAGAGTAAAAATTAATATAAGTAATAGATGACTAAGATATAATAAACAAAGCAAGATGACTAAGATATAATAAACAAAGCAACCAAACCAAGCATTCAACCGACGAACATAGCATCGAAATTAATAAATACCAGCAGAAGTATCCAACCAAAAAATGGTCAAACCCAAACAATTCTGTGCGCACACTATGAAGTACTCGTGTGCACGTTACATGGAAAAAAAAACTAAAGTAGTTAAAACAGATGTCTACATAGAAGGAAGAGAAGTAGAGATAGACTCGTAGGCAAGAGATAGGTTGTGTAAACTGTGCACATTGAACTCCGACATTGCTAGATCCTTCATGTACCGCAGTCTAAGTTTGTGCAACATTGTAGAGTCCCTCGTGAATGGGACGAAGACTAATTTTTACCTGCAATGTAACCATTTTTCGTACTTATCAGTGAACTCATATGTGTTAATTATAGCACAAACATATCTTAGTCAGATCAGCTTCCCCCTTGACAATGTGAGCCCCAATCAGATAAATGTATTCGTTTCAATAGTGTAATAAAAACTCCCCCCATTTGTTGTCTATATTCCATGTTGTATCCTCCTATGCACACGTAAAACTACTATCCAGCACACACTCTATTGACAATTTACGTCATGTGTGCGCCGTACCCTATTACTGTGTGCGACTGATGCAGAATTAGGGTTTGGAACTAATCTAATTTGCAAAGGCAAATTACTCCGCCAAGCAACCGTTTATTCTATGCATAATTCATATTCTCAACCTTTTCCTATGCATAATTCTTTTTTAATCTGTTGTCCATAATTATGGGTTTGAAACTATTTTAATTCGCAAAGGCCATGATCACCCCAATTTACATAATGAATTCTACATCTTATCCATGATGCACAGTTCGTTTAACTACCATTCACACGGTGTAATTCGAATACCATACTCAATTGGGTTTCTTTACCTGGTAGTGCAGGCGACGTTTGCTCTATATTCGTATCCATGGGTTCTTTCCGCGTTGCTATGTCGGAATGCTGTCCGTGTGTAGTGTTTGTCGTAGTCGTTAGATTGCCGTTGGTGGGACGATGTGCGCAGGCTAATATGTTGTTTACTCCTACCAAAATTAGACTTCTAGAATTATGGTGAATATCAATATCTAATATTTTACGTAATTAGCATATTCTTGCTTTGCCTTAATTACCCTTTTTACAATTAATTATGATTATCTAATAAATTTTTTTCCTTACATCTAATCCTTTAATCTACTCAAATCTTATGGCCCATATTTGTCCTCAGGTTTGTATATTAAGGGTGTTTGCATGTGAATGCAACCTTTTATATATATATATATATATATATATATATATATATATATATATATATATATATATATATATATATATATGGAAGGAATCAGGTACATTTGAGGCTTCCCGTGCGGTTGTGTGGGTGGATCCACGTTAAGCATTAATCTGACGCACTTAAAGTACACAATACGGTCACATTAAGCACACAAACCTCACACATGTTAAGCACAAAAACACATGCACCTTAAGTTTTAAATAACAACTCACATTAAGTACACACTCACGCACATTAAGTACAAAACTCACGCACATTAAGTACAAAACTCACGCACCTTAAGCACACGACTCACGCACATTAAGCACAAAACTCACACACATTAAGCACAATACTCAAGTACAAAACTCACGCACATTAACATTACACACTCACGCACCTTAAGTACAAATCTCAGGCACATTAAACACAAGACTCACACACATTAAGTACAAAATTCACGCACATTAATCAATCGCACGGGAACCTTTCACTATATATATATATATAATAGCTGGGCTATAAGCATATGTTGCATATAGCTTTTATTTATTAAAAAAAAAACCCTACATTACTCGTTTGTACCTAGCTTAAGTACAAACACACACATATATGGTATTGGTATGGTGATCCTAATGGATGTTATTCAGTCAAGAGTGGTTACAGGCGTATAGTTGGTAATTACGAGAATAATTCTAATGGGATTTTTAATGAATGGCTAGCCCTATGGAAATTAAAAATTCCACCAAAATGGAAGACATTCCTATGGAGAGCTATTTGTGATATCCTTCCTACTACCAACAACTTACTTATAAAGAGAGTGGATGTTAACCCAATGTGTGCCATGTGTGGGAGAGTGAATGAAGATACCATGCATGCATTAGTTTTGTGTGACTATGCACACTCCATTTGGGCTAAATCCAACCTTCCAATCCCCAATATTGTCACAAATATTTTCCATGAATGGTTTAGTGCAATCTTGAATGTTCTAGACTTTGATGGAATTGCTTATGCAGCTGCAATTTTATACCATCTATGGAGGGCCCGAAACGGAGCGGTATGGGATGCCTGTCTACCAAGACCAACTAAATTATTAACAATTGCAGCAGCTACAATGAGAGCATGGAAGGATCTCCATCATCGTGCCCCATCACAGCCCCGAGCTGCTGCCCACCACCCTACTGCCGAGCAGCCTCCACCGACGCCAGCTGCACCGAACGCCGACGCTGCCGAAACCGCACTGCCTTCGCCGCACGCCAGCTTGCCGGAAGTCACGCATGGCGAGGTGATGACGCCCGTCAAATGCTATATGGACGCAAGCTATCACCGAGGAACCAATGCAGCAGCTGCTGGTGCGGTACTCCTCGACGCCAATGGCCGCTACATATCTGCTTTCAGCGCCCCATTAATAGGTTGCCACTTCCCGCTCATGGCCGAGGCTTTTGCATGCAAGGAAGTATTATCATGGCTTAAAAGGAGGAATGAACTATCTATACAGATTCATACGGATTGTCAACTACTGCAGTGCTATTTATCTGGACCACCAGCCACATCACGCTCATATCTAGGTTATGCTATCGATAGTTGGAGAACCTATATTTCTACTTTTACTTACTGCTCAGTAATTTACATTCCTAGATTACAGAATTTATTAGCTCATACTTTAGCTACTACAGCACTTAATTTCGCTACTGCTATGTACTGGGACAATGTCCCACCAGACTCTATTTTAACTCTTCTATAAATACAACCGCCAGGTTGACTTTCAAAAAAAAAATACAAACACACACATATATACGCATATTGTGTAGTTTTTTAAAATAGTATTTGAGGCGTATGTTAAAAACGAAAGCATTGTTGTAATACAAATGTGTATTGTCTCCTACTACAAATGCCAATGTTTTTTTTTTTTTTTTTTTTGGTGGGTACTAGGGATTTATACCTTTAACGGTCCATATGCACCGGATGAATGATCTTTTTGGAATGCATCTTGTGGCAGTGACTGATCTTCAACTTCCGGAGGATGCTACTACATATCGGTCGGTGACCACAGCAAATACATACCTGTGTGGACTACGATCCAAAACGATGTCGTTAAATTTTATGAGTTTGAATAATTTACTTTGTGTTAGAAAAATGTACTTTATGTGTTAATTAAAGTAATCTACATTTTGTGTTACAATAATGAAACTTTTAAGATAAGATAATGTACTTTTTGAGTTAAAATAATGTATATTATGCTTTAAAATAATGTATATGAACTTTTAGAATAATATACATTATGAATTATAAAAATATATGTTGCAGTAGGTCGCATGATTTTTTATTTTATTTTATTTTATTTACTTAAAACGACGTTGTTTTTGGACATTGGTCCATGCGGGTGACGACGACAAATAAATATAATT